AAAAAGTAATCCTTATTTTCAAATATAATTGTACAAAGTTTTATTTAAATATTTTGGCATTTTAAAAAAGTAAATCATAGCTAAAAAAGTGCAAAAACGCAGGCAAATTTGCCTGTGTTGGTCTACATATTAAGGGATAATACTGACATGGCACTATCATAGTGCCAAGCTGGAACCTAAAATCATGTACCTAAATATTAGCCAGAATTATAGCATAGTGTTAGCTAAAATTAAATAAAATTTTACCACGAATTTACTGTGCCACTAGTAGCCTTTTTTATACTATTTCAGGCAACCAAGATAGAAATTGACAGGGCATAGAATCGATTTTCCGATCACATGATTTTCCGATATCAATAGTCTTCAAATAAAAAATTAGTTTATATTTTAATTTAGGTATTATTTATGGTTAAAAAGAGCTATAATATAGTAAAATTGCAAGAGAAAATTTTTTTGTTAGAGTCAAAAGATTGATTTACTAGTCTAAATTTTGAGAAAAAGGCGATTTTTACAAAGCGAACATTTGTTTTGAATTTCTTTACATTACACCTGGTCCTAATTTTTGATTGGTTAATTTACGCCAAAAATCATGTGATTGGAAAATTGATCCTACGCCCTGGTGTTGTTACCAAGATAGTCTCTAAACCAGCACTCAAGGCTTTACAAATAAGATAATCAAGACAACCCCAAACAGATACCCAAGGCTTCGTCAAGATAACCAATATGGCACCCAAACAGGTACAGGGCATGAAGGTAACCTCAATACCAAGAAGGTAACCAAGCCAATCCCAAACCAACCTGCAAGCCTAATATTAAAAACCAACCAACTCAACTTTCAAATCAACACACAAGACCAATATTAAAAACTAACCAACTCAAACTCTAAAAAGCCACAAAGTATCAAAAACATATAAATAGGTAGCAGTATAATCATAAGCAGGTAGCAGTATAATCATAAGCAGGTAGCAGTATAATTATAAATAGGTAGTAGTATAATACAAGTAGAGCAGTCTTATAAGACTGCTCTACTTATCTCTAATTCTTAACAAACACCTCATACTTTTTATTTTCAACTATCTCATAATTTTTGTCTTCCTCAACAAACATCTACTAATGCTAACTTTCAAAAACAACCTCGTAATACTTATTATTGCGACGATTATGATTCATTAAATTCAATGGAAAGTATTTTAAGCATACAAAGCATTTACTCTAAAATGAGTAGAAGAAATCAACAACAACAATCTTATCAACCATCTCAACAACCATCTCAACAACAATCTCACCAACCAACTTAACAACAATCTCATCAACTATCTTGTTAACCATCTCAACAACTATTTCAACAACTATCTCGTCAACAATCTCATCAACCTTCTCAAGCACACCCACCTTCTCATTATGAATCCAAGTCTTGTTGTTCATCACTGAATAATGATGTAAATCTTTCTTTATCACAGAGTTCACCTAATTCAGAACCTAGAGGAAGATCACGTGAAATATCAACCAATCAAGATGCACCATGTAATCAAGATATATCATGCAATCGTGATAGTAATAATATAAGGCTTTTTTTTTTCTTTTTTCTTTGAATAGCTATCTTTTTCTTTTTTTTTTTTTAATGAGAACCTTTTTTTTTTTTTTTTATAAA